TGAAGACAGTCAAGTGTCTGTCGTAAAACTACACAAGACAAACAACTTAAATAAAGCAGGCAGTCCTTTTGTAGACAAACAATCAAGTATTCATCACCAGTCCGCACGGTGCCTGTGAATATTTTTGCTTCGTCACCCAATCAATAGTGAAACGAAATGTTGTAAGCTTTTATTACAATATTTTCGATATATTTGTAAGCACCTTTATTATAGAATTGAAAGAAAAAGACTAAAGAAAGAAAGATATTTAAAATTGAATAAAATAATTTCACCTATCGAAGTTAATATATTATAGAATTAACCTTTTTTCAGAATATGATTTAATTTCTTTTTAGTTATTTGTTTACTTTTTATTAAAAGTTATTTTTTCCCTTTTGTGTGGGTTAAAAAATCTTCATATCCTATTTTACTTACAAACTTCATCCCCTATTTTACCACCTAAGACTGAATAAAATAGGGGACGTTTTCATCAAATTTATATTAGATTACCTCTGAAGTATAAGTTTAATAAAAAATAATCATAAATATCGGTTCAAATTTAACGAAGATTCCGCGAATTCGTACAAAACACATACAGTCGAATTGTAAACCTCGATACACTGTTTTATTTGTGCACATAATATATACATATATATAATATATTCTACAGTATTGTTATGGAGTTGTGGAATGTGGATACGTAAATTGCATATGAACAAATATCCACACCAGAAACAATTATTTGTAGGCGATTCAAATACTATGTTCGGTGCTTCCGCGCGGGATTCGATTTCGCACCCCGCAGCGCCTAAGCCAAATGCTAACCACTGTGCTACCACATGAGTAAAGAAACCGTATTACTCATGTGGTGCTACCGAGTAGCATATTTGCATACATGTAGATTATACTATCACAGAAATATTTTTATAGCTAACAATTACATTAATATAATAAACACATTTAATATTATTTTAACAAGTACCGACTTGTTCTTCCATCAACAAATAGTTACATAACTGTAAAGTATTCGCAGCACGTACGATGCGTACATCACAGGCTAATTATTTCAATTTTTTAGGTTGTCGTCGTAGCCATGCCCGATAATAACGATGCCACTCGAGACATCTTAAGAATTTTGATGAGTCAGGTGCTGAAGTCAAACGGAACGTTGACATTTCGTCATACAGTCTGAGTATTTTGTAAATTTTAAAACTAACGATGGCAACATTACTATTCAGAATGCATACAGATTATAGACCTAAAAGAGCCGAAAACGACTAACAAAATGATGTGCATCATTCTCGAACCTAAAATAAAAAGGCTCTCGGATACTGATAAGAATTCAATCGTATAAAAACCACATTGAAAAGAAGCAAAAAAAGTCTAATGCAATGTTGGGATCTTAAAACAAACAAACACAGGGCACACCTCAGCGTTCCCGCAGCCAAGTAGACGTCGGTCGCTTTGAGCTCCATACAAAAACCCACCCGCCTCAACCTTTTAAGTAGGTTGTTAACTTTTTGATTTATGGTCAATAATAGAGACGCAACGCCGTGGGAGACTTTTCGAACACCAAAGATATATAATTTTAATGAACCCCCGGAACATAATAAGCCAATGGTTTTGTGTTAAGATAAAAATCATTTCTTTCGTCTTCTGTATTTTATACCGGAAAGTAGTATTGTTGGATATTGGACCGAGTACCACATGGGTGGTCAAGTGTAACAAATTTTATAGTAAGCTCTGATCGAAAAATTGTTGTAATATGCATCCAAATATTGTCTTTGATTTATTAATCGGGCTTATACGTTGAAATATGCTTTTTTCTTCAAGTGTCATCATCACCTGCCGCGGTGCAACCCGCCGATTGATAAACGTGTCCCGTATTTTCAAGATTCATGTGTTCATTTTTGTTTGAATGAACATTATTCGAATATCAATTTTAAATATTATGTAAGAACAATCATAAAGGCAATTTTTTTTACTATTCTGGGAAAGGACTGTACCAAATAATCAAAAGAATGAAAATGGGAAAGGATGTAGGGATTGTTTACTTTCTACCGTAAATATCATCAACAGCCTTTCTTCCCACTTTTAGCCCACTTCTTGACATAAGTCAATCAATGTATAGATAATACATAAGCAACGGACAAGTATTACTTGGATGTGTTGGATAGAATCAGTTACCACGTTGGGCTGTCAACGATTGTTATATTTACTAAGTGCTAGCTAACTGTTTTACAATAGTTTGTCATATGCTGAGCAGTGTTGGCACTGCTGTGTAGCGGTCTAAAAGGCATAGAGAGTCGTGATGAATAAGGCTATGAAGGCGTTTGTTTGAAGTTGGTTGCAGATATCCATATTATGCTGTAGCCACTATCAGGCGGATTGTAAGTTCGTTTTTTACTTCAATTTTAGAAAAAAAAAAACACCTCAATAAATCATTAATCAAAGTTTTAAAAAAGTTACCTCGCGTACATCCGCTCGATAAAATAAAATGATGTGTCTAACCTAGTTTGAAGAGCACCTCCCGCCCTCCCTCGATCGCGTGCACTATCCCTGTCACCACTAATCCCAGCACCACTACTCCCAACCACTACACTAGAAAAGACACACCACTGACGACAATACGACACGTGTTTCGCCTCTACACGAGACATCTTCAGGTGATCTAGACTCCGTGGTGGCTAATGGCTAAGCTTAGCGGTCAGACGAGGTAACTTTTTAAAAACTTTAATATAATGGATTTCTGCAAAGTAACGCCTAATTCTTTAAAATCATTAATCGTTGAACATTGACTCTCCTATTATAGGAAAATTTGCTATAGTTGCAACAATTGGCAGGCGAATTTGTAACTACAGTTTTTATTATTTTGAATTCATTTCTGGATAATGCTGCCCATTTTCCATTTTATGTGCCTCAGTCGCGTCTTGAGCCACACACGGAATAATATGGGGTAGTATATTCTAACGTTGCCACTACACGGCACACAACAATGGAAACTAAGTTGTAAAACACGCAGTTACTACAGCAAAATAAACATGTTGTTTCTAGCTAACTTAAGTTACAACATTTCTTAGAATATTGCGGAAAATTCGCGTTCTCCTCTATTGCGAGAAACAAAACAATAGGTTCTAGTTTAAACCATGCAGAATTATTAGATTGCAAATTCAGTTTTATATACATCTTCTATTGTAGGTACGAGTACCTACGTAAATCATGACAAATTTAGCATCACCTCCTTCAATATGAAATCGCATTTTAAATTTTAGCACATTTTGACAAAATTCACAATCCAACAAGCTTTATTTAAGTCCTTGACCGTAGATAATTAACAAACGATGAATACAATCAAAATTTAACATTAACAGCAATAAAACGATAAACTGGAATGTACCCGTGATTCTTACAAGCAAATTGGATTGGTTATCACTAAGATTACTATTATTTGAAATTGAATTAATATACTCGTTAAAGTACAAAAGCGGTGGTAAATTACAGGGCTCTTTGTTTTATTAAGTTCGCATGCCGGCTTTTGTTTGCTTTTATAGGATTGTAGTGTTTTTTTTTTGGCGTGCGTGCGTCTGGGTGGGCGCTTTCCGAGACACGAATACGCCGACGCGCTCAGCAATTATAATGGTCCGAGATAAAAGTACTTTGGTGGGAAGATGCGGCGTGAAATAGAACGTTTTGATGTCATTTTTTGTTTTATTTTAGTCCTGCACAAGAAACTCAATTCCAAATTTTGAAAGACAATTACTTTAAGAAATTATATTACATACATGGCCCTTTAATTTTTCTGTACACATACGGGTATAAACATTTCTATGCGCTGCTCTAAAACACAACCTTCTAATTAAGGCAGTTATTTTATTTTTTATTTACGTTTAAAATATTACCTACGTTTAATAATTTCAAACGAAGTAATTGAATTAATTAAATTGAATTTAAATTGAACGTTCTATCACACGCGTCTTCATCAATACATATAAATAAAATTGAACTGTCCGCCTGTAATATAGAAATAACTGCGTTTTATTGAGCTAAACGGGTTATTTGCATGCATTTAAGACATGAATAATCATTTAAAAAATCTTTGTCTATTTCTCCGTCTCTCTGTCCGAGCCAATTGTAGGAATTACCAAACAGATTCAAATGAAACTTGACAAAAAGATAGAGACCAAAGCCAGGAGTGATCTAGGATACATTTTATCCGAAAAACATGAATATTTTCTTTGTGAAAACAAAAAAATTATAAAATAAATGGTCATTAACGATTATTTGAAAAAATATAAATGAAATCTCATTAATAAATCCCACCCAGACGAAGGCGGGGCGGGGCGCTATTTAATTATACAATAATAAGTACCACGAAAGATTTTTTTACTCGAACTGATTTCTAAACATAGAAAAACTCACTTGTCTTAACCTACTGTAGGGTAAATATACAATAGTATATTCATTTGTGTATATATAATGGTATATTCATTTGTGCTTTTTCTGCCGACTTCAAAAAGGGGACGGTACTCAATTCGACTGTATGTTTTTTTATGTGTGTTACCTCATAACTTTTTACTGGGTGAACCGATTTCGACGATTCTTTTTTTATTTGAAAGCTGGTACTTCACATGTGGTCCTATATGAATTTGATCAAGGTCAGACAAATTGTTTTTGAGTTATTCTTAATAATTTATACTGAAGTCGGCTGTACAAAATTTTAAATTTTAAATTATTTCTGCCTAGGATCCGTCCGGTAGGTATCCAATAAAAATGAAATATCCAACCTCTTACCAATGCCGTCAAATTGCAATACTTGCAGTGTTATGTTCCGTACGAGTGGTAAAGAGAGTCAATATAATTACAAACTGTATGACATTCAATTTTAGTCCTCGGAGCTGACAACGTATCTGTAGCCTAGTCTGTTTTAAGTTGCCACTAACCAAAAGGTGGACTGTAATTTCGTTTGTCACTTCAGTTTTATAAAATCGATCATGGAATAAAATTAATGTAATAGAAATTACCGTCGCACACAGGACAATTGTAGTGCGTATGCCGCTGATGTCTTGGTCGTTCGCAAGGCGCATAGCACTCCGGCCGCGAGATAGTGATCACGCCGGCTTCACAGCGCAGCACTCGACCGTCCTCTCCCCATTCCGTGTGCGAGGCGTGCTCGGTGCCGTTGTACCAGCAACCCTTGCATCGGGCGCAACAGCCTTCACGTGGCATCACCACCGCGCAGTCGTCCATCGGTCCACACTCTTCCACACCGCTCCGACACTCCACGAATCCGTTCTATAATTTAAGTGGAAATAATTTAATTGTGTAGGTACATTATGTACGTAAGAACCCATGAAAGGGACAACTTATAATAACAACTTCTTTTCTAAATTCACTTGCAAGTGTTGGCACACAAATCTATCTCTGGCGAAAATAATCAACAATACAACATGTCAAACAGCGGCGGACTTTAAGAAGCGAATGTTTGAAAAGACGACTTATACTACTCTAAGGCCGATTGAGATTTCTACCTTCATGCTACAGGAATATAATTTTAATATTTAATCATATTATAATGATTTAAATACATTTTACAATTAGCCATATTTCAGCGGTTATCTTTACAAAACAATAAAAGCGCTATATCGGGCTGATTCTAAGGCGCTTGACACTCCTTGTAAAGCGTGTTTCAGAATTTCGATGGTTAATTTGACGTTTGTTGTGTGGTTGCTGTCGGTGGCCATTACTGGGTGGTTGGTGGTGGTGGTACGTGGGTGTCGATAGAGGCGGCCTACATTTTTTCCCTACAGAATAATACATATGACCTAGTAGTATGACCACGAAAAGTAATAAAAACTGTATATTTTTATATTGTGTAACAATAATACTACAAGAAATAAGAAAGACACTGGAATCACATACTATCATTAAGTATCATACAATTTCGAAATTTTAACATAAAATAACACGAGCCATAAATAAGTCACAAAATATCAATGACGCTATTCAGTGTTGCCGCGAATGTAAAAATAAAGTTCCCCGTGGCTGAGATTTTTATATGTAAATTTATTGTTACTATATTTCATAATATAATATATTAAACTTATTATAATATAACCTAATTCTATATTATTTAATGTTTATTTCTGTAGTATTGCTCAAATGACATAATTGCCATTTACTAGGGTTCTGTACCCAAAGAGTATCAACAGGACCCAAGTCTCCACTATCGTTCCGTCTGTTTGTCAGTAGACTGTATCTTATGAACCGTAATATGTAGATACTTGGAATTTTCATAGAATGTGTATTTATGTTGCTGCTATAACAACATAAAATAAAAAAGAAAACAAGTAAAATATTAAAGGACCCAAAAAAATCGTGATTTTTTTCTGTATGTGATATGTGTTTTGTTTACAGACTAAAGCGAAACCTGGATTAACACGAAATAAAATGATGCTGTGTGTATGGTGGTATTGAAAGTTTATCATGAGCTTTTACCGCCGGGTAAAACCATCGATTCGGATCTCTACTACCAATAAATATTGAGACAAGCAAGAAATAGAAAAAGAAACGTCTGGCATTGATAATCAGAAAAGGAGTGGTCTTTCATCATGATAACGCCAGATCACAAGATTAGTTATCTGTTTGAGACTTTCAATACACACTAACATTCCTAAAAATCCAGTATTTGCTTGAGTACTTAAAACTGGTTTAAAAGTTTTAGTCATTATTTTCTTTTGTTGCTTGTGTTCTTTAAAAGAAAGCTTTCTGGAGTTTTTAATATTTAAGTTTATAAATTTTTTTTCCATTATAAATGGGATGACTAAATCCATGTTCCTTCAAATCTCTGGTATTGAATATTTTTTTTTTTTTTTTTTTTTTATAGAATAGGGGGCAAACGAGCATGCGGCTCACCTGATGTTAAGTGACTACCGCCGCCCATGAACAACCGCAACACCAGGGGAATTGCAGATGCGTTGCCGGCCTTTTAGAAAGGTGTAAGCTCTTTTCTTGAAGGTTCCTAAGTCGTATCGGTTCGGAAAATTCGCTGGTGGTAATTGATTCCACAAAGAAGTTGTGCGAGGGAGAAAACTTCTTCTAAATCGCACAGTGGTGGACCGCCAATCATCCAGATGGTATGGATGGTAACGCGAGTTTTGTCGCGACGTGCGATGGTGAAATTGAGCGGCTGGAATTAGTCCGAACAATTCCTCAGAGCACTCCCCGTGATAGATGCGATAAAATACGCAAAGAGATGCAACATCTCTACGCAGTGCCAGTGTATCGAGCCGATCGGAAAGAACTCGGTCGTCGACGATTCGAATCGCTCTGCGCTGGATGCGGTCAAGTGGAAGGAGCTGGCACTGGGGTGCCCCGGCCCAGAGATGAGAACAGTATTCCATGTGGGGCCGAACTTGCGCTTTGTAAAGTTGCAAGCGATGTGCCGGCATGAAATACCGTCTCGCTCTGCTGAGCACGCCAAGCTTTTTAGAGGCCAATTTGGCCTTCCCTTCCAAGTGACCACGAAACTGCACGCTATTCGATATGTCGACGCCAAGGATTCCGATACTGGCTGAGGCAGCAAGGGGAGTGCCTTGAAACTGAGGAGATACGACAAAGGGGTTCTTTTTAGCGGTAAACGCGCAAACTTGTGTCTTCTGGGGATTGAACTGGACTAGATTTAGTCGGCCCCAATCCGAGACTTTGTTAAGCAAAGACTCGACTTCAGACACAAGTTTGTCCCGGTACTCGGCGACGTTTTCCCGAGAAATATTGGCACGGCCGGTATATAAGGCATCCCCAGTGCTGTCGTCTGCATAGCAATGAATGCTACCAGTTAGCAGCATATCATTGATATGCAGGAGAAACAGCGTTGGTGATAGCACGCAGCCTTGTGGAACACCAGCGTTGATAGGCTTGTAATCAGAGCATGCACCGTCTACTACGACCTTGATGCTCCGATCAGCAAGGAAACTGGTGATCCATTTGCACAATTTCTCGGGAAGCCCATAGGAAGGAAGCTTCGAAAGAAGCGCCTTGTGCCAGACCCGATCGAAGGCCTTCGCTATGTCCAAACTAACGGCCAATGCCTCCCCCTTGGACTCTACTGCCTCCGCCCATCTATGAGTTAAGTAAACTAAAAGATCACCTGCTGATCGACCCCGACGAAAACCGTACTGACGGTCACTGATCAGCTGGTGATCCTCAAGGTACCTCATGAGCTGGCAGTTTATAATGGATTCCATTATTTTGGAGAACAAGGAGGTGATGGCGATAGGCCTGTAGTTGGACGGGTCTGAGCGGTCGCCTTTTTTAGGGATCGGGTGGACCAAAGCTGTCTTCCATGAATTCGGGACTACGCCTTGGGAGTAGGAGTACCGGAAAAGACGCGTTAAAACCGGTGCCAACTCCGGAGCACACGTCTTCAGCACAATGGGAGGGACTCCATCGGGCCCACTCGACTTGCTGACGTCCAGGGAGAAGAGTGCTTTACGAACCGAGCGCTGTGTAAATCGCACATCCGGCATGGAGCACTCACATCGCGGGATGGTCGGCGGTGTGTTCCCCCCGTCATCTAGAGTCGAGTTGGACGCAAAAAGAGAGCACAACAGATCGGCTTTCTCTTTTGCGGCATGGGCCAGTGAGTCGTCCTCTCTGTGCAGAGATGGGAGGGATGGCTGACAGAAGTTCCCTTGGACAGCCTTGGCGAGAGACCAGAATGCACGGGTTCCCGAAGGAAGGCGAACTAGCTTCTCGCCAATTCTGCCGATGTGCTCAGACCTTGCCTTGGCAATGACGCTTTTGAAGGACCTGGAGGCGGAATTATACTTCTTTTTAAGTGCGCTGGTGTTTAAATCCCGAGACGTTGATGCGTCAGCCCAGGCCCGGTAGCACTCCTGCTTATAGCGTGATGCTATTTTACAGGAGCGACCAAACCATGGCTGGGATCTGCCTCCGATGGGCACCACAGAGGATGGAATAAAAAGTTCCATACCCTGAAGTACCACATCAGCAACAGAATCGGCAACAACGCTGGGATCTTCCGGCGAGAAGCAAACCCGCCCCCAAGGGTAGGATGCAAAAAAAGACCGCATCCCGTCCCAATCAGCTGACCTATAGTGCCAAACACGGCGGCAAGCTGTAGATCGCAACTGCGATTGGAGCGTGAGTGGCACTGTGCTCCGGATCAGACAATGGTCCGAAGAGCCCAGAGGGGCATCGACGGAGACCTGATATCCGTCCGGATGAGAGGTCAGCAGAAGGTCCAACAGGGAAGGTACATGGTCTTCCACATCTGGGATCCGCGTAGGCGAAGTAACCAGTTGTGTTAGACCATATGCCAAAGCAAAGTCGTAGACAGATCTACCCGCATGATCGGTTGAACGAGAACCAAGCCATTCAGCGTGGTGGGCGTTGAAATCACCGAGTATCACGATCTCTGCGGATGGGACCTGTTGTAGCACGGAGTCTGCAGCCATTTGGACGTGGTCGATGAGTCGGTCTGTGTCGGCATTACCGCTATGGGACCTATAGAGGCACCCGTAGACGCGGGGATGGTCGTCGCTGTCTACGCGCAGCCATAGGATGGACAGGTCCGTACCTTCAAGGCTGCCGAGGCGTCGAAAACAGATGTCCTCTCTGACGTATACACAAACTCCAGCCCGGGGCACAAAGGAGTGTTCCAATTTGTACCCCGGGTAGGAGAGATATGAAGTATCAGCCGGAGAGGACACCTGAGTCTCGGTTAAAAAGAGCAAGGCCGGCTTCGCCGTCTCTAGATGGTAATGGACAGCGTTAAGGTTGGAATGAAGTCCCCTGATGTTGCAAAAATTCACGGATAGCGTGACAGGGGTCGCCTTGGTTGTATTGCTCCGCTTGCCCCGAGCAGCATTAGTCACGAGCGGAATTTTGCCCCCCCCAGAATACGCGGGGCAGCCTGAGCACCCACGCTCAGGAGTGAAGTAGTTTGTTCGTGGATGCTCAGCGAGGGATTCTCCAGGGTTGCTGGTACCCTCCTGGGGTAGTCTTGTATTTAATTCCACTACCATGTTGATGGGGGGGGGGGGAATTGGGCCTCCGGCCACCTGCACTCACCAAACGCAACGCAGAGGTAAACCTCTACTTCACGCTGGTATTCTGTGAGGTCGTGGTACCACCCCGGTTCGAGCTGGCCCATCCGTGCGACAGCAAAAGCTACCGCTTGGCTCTACCACTGTTGATCTATATCAAATAAAACTACTTGTCGCATTTTTTAAATCAAAATCCCAAGATTTCTACAGCAACGTTTATTTTTT